TACTAAAAAAGCAAAATTCCACTTCTGAAAGGCTGCACCAAGGGACTGAAGAGATGTCTCTGGGTTTAAGAATGCTTGCTGCTCTTGTAAAGGATCAGAATTTGGTTCCCAGCATCCATGTCGGGATACTCACAACTGTGTGGAACTCCAACTCCAAAGGATCTGATGCCCTCTTCTGCTCTTCAGGAGCACTGTACTCATGTGCACTCACTCATACATCGGTATGCACATATACATGATTTAACTTCTAAAGCATAATCTTTAAAAGACTGCACCAATTCATAAGCCAACCTAAGATGTACTACAGCTTTTCTGTATCTATGGTTACATAAATATTGTCAGCTATCTGCCAGGACACGCTATAAGAAACCATTAATTAAATTTATTAAACACTGGGCATCATCGACCTGAGTTAAGTGGCAAACACCACATTGCTTATTCACTCTTCCTTAAATAGGACTGAGACATGGAGATTAGAACTTTGGGAGCTGTCGTTTCAGTGAGTTTCCTACTCTTTTCATCTGCCTTCTATTATTGGGCTGTCACTATACCCATGACATTAGGAGCTCTTTCAAATTAAGAAACATTGATTTGTGTTGCAAGTATTTTGCTTTGGTTGATTTTTAACCTCATTAATTTTTTTCAAAGACAAAGGACTGGTTTTCCACTTAGAAAACCATTATGTCTTTGGGGATGATCATTTCTTACATTTAACAGAGAATTTTGAGACTAACACCCGATTCTAGCACTCTGTGCCTTTAACTGGCCCCATCCTGCCTTCCTGGCTGCTCAAAGATTACTTGGTGTCTGCCACGTTCTCCATCAGTTCAAGATCAGTTAGTTCTGTGTGCCTGGGAATGGGAGGAGTGCTAATGATGACAAGAACACAAATGGAACCCAGGCTCAGGTACACAGATAACTCTAATAAGGGCTACACTGACCAGATGGCAGGAGAAGAGTAAATGGCTGGAGAGCCATGGAGAAGATACATAGGGAATTCAGGGAGCTAAGAAAAGAAGGGAGCATCTCCAGGGAGCTATGGAGGGTGTCAAAACTGGACTGACAGAGGACAGGACAGGACAGACAGCTTGTACAAGCACAACACTAGCAAGAAGTTACAAAGTCTGTTTTGGGGGAGAAAAAAAAATCTCATCACGTAAAATTTAAAGTCAGTTCCTCCTATGCTCCCTCTCAAAGGGATGTGTGTGTGTGTGTGTGTGTGTGTGTGTGTGTGTGTGTGTGTGTGTTGTAAAGTATGAATGTTTGTGTGGGTATCTCCAGGTATACATGCATATGTGCTCTTGCATGTAAATACCAGGTCAACGTACGATGTCTTCCTGGATTTCTCTCAACCTTATTTTCTAAGATAGGATCTCACCAAACCTGGGGCTCATCTATTTCGCTAGGCTGGCTCATGAGGGAGCGTCAGGACTCTGCCTGGCTGCACACCTCACCCCACACATGCACTACACTCACTGAGGATGTGTGCACACTACCATCCTCTGCGTCTGTGTGGGTGCTGGGGACCTAAGCTCAAGTCCTTGTGCTTTCAGATCAGGTGCTTCAAGGTATCCCTCTAGCCCCTGAAGCTTTTATATAGACTCTTCAGGGTAGGGAAAACTTTAAAAAAAAAATTAAAGGTCGGCAACCCAATGTCAGGAAACCCTTGGAGTCCCATGGAATTTGACATTTCCAAGAGGAAGGCTTCTCTATGGCACCCTACAGAGCTGGCCTGCAGACCCCAACTAGAGAGGAGAGGGAAATGCAGGTTATCTACACAGAGTCCTAATCATGTTGTCTGGGCATACACTGCCGATCAGACTTTTCTTCTATATTATGAAAAGGAAATTCATGTTTCCAAAACCTTTACATCTGGTTTTACAAAATGATCAGATAGTATAGAATTGTTGAGCATTGTTTCTCTATAAAGCATTTACAACCAGTGGTACTGCACAGATTGAGCCATTGGGATCTGGAGAACAGGGCTAGTGAGATGGTGCAGCTATTAAAGGTGCCTCCCACCAACCTGATGGTCTGAGTTCTAGTCTCAGGGTCTACATGATGGGAGGAACTGACTCATGAGAGCCATCTCAGGACCTCCACATGTGCACCATAGTATTCACAGAGCAAATAAGTAATAGAAACATAAATAAATGTAAGTTTTAAAGCTGGAGAGTATTCTAGTCGTCCTGAGTGCAGTAGTTTTCACCCAGTGTAATTAAAGTCGCCTTCAATGAAGACAAGTTGGAGCATGCGAAAGGACAAAGTACACATTTCATTTTTACTTCGCAGAAGGGCTTTTCCCATTCGTTAATGTTAGTAACTTTCCACTTTGATGGTGGGGACAGTCTTGAGTATGGCTGTTGTCAGCATTGTTGTGACTGCCCACTACACCTATTCCAGGGTCCTCAGGAGGAAGAACTCTCACACGGACGCATGGCTCTATTTTTTTTTTAATTTTTATTTTACACATATCACAACAAAATGAACACACTTTTCCACAACTCCTGGGCCTAAGGAGGGTCTCAATCCTAACAAATTCATTTGAAAAGCTCCTTCAGGCTGAGGCTCTCAAGGGCTTAGCGCTGATCCTCGGAACTGGAGGAGTCAGAGGAGAGGGAGTCTGCTTCCAGGACGGACTGTGTGGTGAATGAAACTGTCTTAGGAATAGATGGTGTGTAGAGCATGAATGTAAGCAAGGCTGCTGGAGTTGGTGCTTACACACTATCAAAATAGCAACATTTATATGTTTTTACCACCAAAAAAAATTAGAAAATCTGTGATCAAATATCTGAGATATATTTTAAGACACTGTTCATACTAACAATGTCTCTTACAGCTTCACGATGCAGCTAGCATTTTATTTTTGGATTATATATTTAAATTTGAATGACTCTGTCACAAGTAACTTTTTAAACAAGTCTGGAAGGCATGTAAAATGATGAAATCATTTCAGTTGCTTAGGGATGTCACAGTCCATCTTAACAGTGGCCAGCCAACACTAACATGTCTATGAAACTTAATACAGTCAGTCTCAAATGCCCTAAAAATAGACTTACCAATGAATGTACAAATGACTCATTAAGAGTGGGCATACAACACAGTGGCCTGCTGGTCAGGAAAACCAGTGGGGTGTGGCTTCTCTCTCAGGGCCACTGCTTGCTATGATAACACACACAAATGCTGGATCACTCAGAACCTTCCAAGACATGGCTTGGAAGATCTTAGGGTCGAACAATTTCAAATTCACGGGGTGTTTCACACCAATAGAGAGAAAAATGAACAGCAGAGATCCTCCTAGTAACAGGTTGAGCTCACTCAGATTTTTGATGTGGGTCAAATCCGGATTGAAATCCAAAGACCCATCCATTGATTTGAGACTGAAATGTTAACAAGTTGTTTTCCCTCTTTTTCATATTTTCCATGTCTGCTTTAAAGAGCCGGACCAGCACTAGTGTGTGCCCACAGGGTACTCAGAAGTACTCAGGGTATCCCAGCATGCTCCCCCATGCCCTGATCTACTCTGACTTGCCCACATAACCTTCCTAGTGCTTGTTAGCAGAAGGAAGAGTGCCTGCTCTCCGCCACCTTTCGCCCCAAAGCTTAGGCCTTGGCCCTTTCTCTAAAGATGGGGTACTTAGTTATATCTGTAGTGCCATCTGTAGTAACATTGCATTCCTACAATGTTCTTCTCATTAAGGGAGATATTTTTAATCGTTCCACAAAATTAAATCTGTCATAGGCTAGTACCATGTTACCAATACATGAAACCCCTCCTAAGGGGCCTATACAGATTTCCCCCAGTGAATCAGGGTGACAGGGTGGACTTGATGCAAATGCCCTATAAAGAGAGCTTTGAAATGTATGTGCATCCCTGCCATGAACTCAAGAGCATCATCTCTTCTCTGTGGGAACAAGTAGTCCCTTTTACACTTAACCTTTGATCCTCTGGGACAACTTCCATTATTATTCCTGCTTCCAGAATAGCCTTACTCTATGACACTCAAATAATTGAAATTAACCCTAGTTCTTCATTCAAAAGTACCCCCTATTCCACTAGACATACCCAGTAACCCCTCTCACTAAAAACCACCCCCAAACCCAAGCTCTTCAGGGATGTATACAGAGGAATAATGTACTCTGTGAGGGTGCCATTTTCTCTGACTCCTTAAGAGACCCAACCTCCTCTAGTGTATCTATTAAAACCTGTAAAAACCTAAAGTCCTGTGGCTCCTTCACCTTCCTTCAAAGGCCACTTGCCAAACTGGGAAAAAAAAAAACTCTGGGGCATCTCTGACACCCTTCCGTCATCCTTGAAGCCCATGTTTGTTTGCAGCTGTGGAGGGCACCATGTCAGTCTGCCCAAATGTCTCAAACGTAAACTACTTTGAAAAACACCTGGAGATAGAAGATTGAAAACAAACCACGACAATTCATCCCTTAGCGGCATAATCATGATCACATATGTAAAGTATATTTTGTTTTCCCAGTGTGTACATATTATGTAGACTCGTCACCACCTGGACTCAAGAGACCCCGGAACACCTGCCTCCCCAGACGACGTTTCCAGGACACCTGGACAAGAAGAACAAGCAGAAAGCTACTGCCCTGTGTCCTGCACCAACCTGAGCTGCCGTCTGCAGGAAGCCAAACACAGTCTGACCTCCCAGACAGGGGCTGTAGACATAGCACCCGCTGGTGTGAATGGCTCTCTCATTACAGGACGCTACCCTCACAGAGGCTGCTGTACTTCACCACCCAGACCTGCCTATACTGGAATGGGACGTACAGTGAAAGAATAGTTAAGACAGGTTCAGAGGAGATTAGAATTACCCCTGTGCCTTCCTGAAATACACTGTGCTTCCACTCTGATATGCATTTGTGATCTGGGACCAGCCTGTGTTCCCAGATCCTTGACCATCAACCATGAGCTCTGCCCAGCCTATCACAAAAAGGTGGTCTACAACACTACTATCAAAAGTAAACCAAAATTCACTCACCATGCCGCTTTCCAAACCAGGGCTGCTATCGCCTATCTCATCGATTTCTTTAACAATTTCGGCTGGTGCCTGGGAAGAAAATGCATGGTCGAGCTGAGTCAGTGCCAAACTCCTTTGAAAAAGCAGAGAGCACGGGAACCCACTGTGCCATTCCAGACCAGTTCTACAGACAGGACTGGAAGAGGGAAAGCAGAGAGCACGGGAACCCACTGTGCCATTCCAGACCAGTTCTAAAGACAGGACTGGAAGAGGGAAAGCAGAGAGCACGGGAACCCATTGTGCCATTCCAGACCAGTTCTACAGACAGGACTGGAAGAGGGAAGTGCAGGCTTTCCAAATACAGGATTGCTTCAATTTTATCAGTAGTTCCACCAAGGAAACAGAGAGATCTTTACAGAGAGGCTCTGTAACGTCTTTTCATGAAAACAGGAATGCCAGGAGATGGGCATGTAACCCCATACCTGAACTTAAGAGGGTGAGGCAGGAAGAGCATGCATTTGAGGGTAGTCAGGGCTATAGGGAAAGTTTCAGGCTACCCTGGACTACATAGCAAGTCCCTGTCTCAGAAATAAATAAATAAATAAATAAATAAATAAATAAATAAATAAGGATCCAGGGAGATGGCCCAGTGAGTAGATCAACACTTGCAACATAAGTCTGAAGACCTAAGTCTGGATCCCCATAACCCGTGTAAAAGCTGGACACCTATGTGTATATCTGTACTCCAAGTACTACTATTGTGAGACAGGAGATAGAGGCAAGAGATTCTCCCATCAGTTCCTGAGTCAATTAGCTTGGGGTACAGAAAGGATGCTCTATAAACAACATGAAAGATGACAACTGACACCCAAAGTTGTCCAGACCTCTGCACTCATGCTGTGGCAAGCACACACCCTGGTGCATAAATACAAATATATGAGCAAATATTTGTAATTAACTGATTCATTAATTAAAATGCTATAGCCTTAACAAGTGCCTCCAGCCAAGGAGCTGTTCCCCATTCTGTAGGTAGCCCCTGCAGCCTGGTTGCTCTCAGCCCCTCAGAGCAGTGTATCCTCCCTCAGCTTCTTATCCTTCCCAGGTCTTGGGGATATGTGAAAAAGAGTCAGTGAGCCAACTGTATCCGTGCTCAGTACCCTCTCCCTTTCCCCACTCTCTTTTGAGCACTTCTGTCTGTGGGCCACTTGCATTTCAGTGCCACGTCTGCTGAGAGACAGACTGACTTGACAGCCGCAAGCCACATGTGTGCACCACATGTCCCCAGGGGTCTAGCCAGAGCCCTGATCCTTCATCACATCGTCCAGGACATCCAGCGGGGGAAGAACCTCTCACTGTCCTGATCCCAAGGACACTGAGTCAAGGCAAGAAGCTGGAGCTGCCCCCACTGGCCCCACACAGCACATCTGAGCTAAAACGATAAAGAACTGACGACAGGCAAAGAGCTACCCTGGGCAAAGAGCTACCCTGGGTAAAGAGCTATCCTGAGCAAAGAGAGCTGCTGCCAGCTGTCCTCGGGCATGTTAGAATAGAGGTGCACGGTTGTACAGACATGTGGGCTAGTGGCCAATGCCCCCATCTCATTAGCTCACCTTTAGACAGACCAGGGTGGCGTGGATGTTACATTCCTACAGTGTCATAGACAAGTAACCCCAATCCTATGTGCAAGGACTGTGAAAACTACATAAAAACAGATTTTTCAAAACTCTTCAAAACATATCTGATGTGACAGCCAACACTATGTCACTCATTCATCCCATAAACACAAAAAGGACACCCACTGCTTTGAATTCCACTCTGTTAGAGATGCCAGAGATCTTGAGTGCAAACAAACACATCCTCAAGAAGATGAAGTCGTCTGAAGAAATGAACATTCATTAAACCGTCAGCGCTTGAGTACAGAGCTACAACTGTGAGATCTGATGGAGATACACAGGCAGAGAGAGAGCAAAACAGTGTTTAACATAGATAGGAGGCCACTGAAAGCCGCCTATGGTGACGTTTAATTTAATGTGAAGGATGTAGGCTACTAATAAGCAAAAACAGGAACCGGAAGTGCATTCCTGAAGACGGGACGGCACTGTAAAACTTGCCTCGGGTGAGGCACAGTGCTCTGGGACTGCAGGATGGTCAAAGCATGGAACAGGAGGAATGCAAAGATCTGGCCATGAGATGCTGCCTGGTGAGGGGAGAGATGGGCTCGGGAAGAGGGTGGGTAGGCTCCGGGCAATAGCACAACGTGGATATGGAACAGTTAGATGAGTCTTGGGAGTCTACAAGGTAAGAAAAGAAGCCCCAACACAGACCCTACACTGAACCCTAGAAAGATGTGACCGGAGGCAGAAGGAAAGTCCGGTGCTGGCTCAGCAAGGTGCTTGCCGGAAGGGGAGAGTATTCTGAGGGAAACGAGTGGGTGGAGGTAGCAGGTGGCGGGAAAGGTCACAATGTCGAGCTGCTGAGGACGCTGAGTGTGGAAGTAGACTCATGAGTAGCACCAACAGATGATATGATTGGAGAGAGGAGGAAGATAGGAGAAGCCACTCCCTGGAAAAGCCAGCTCTGCACCTGCTAGATAGGTGGTTGTTGTCCCTGGCAAGAGGCCAAAGCAGGGTTTCTGCTCGCCTATAACAGGAAGGTTTTGACATTCTAGACAGGTGGGATTCCAAAGGCAGGAGAAGTTGGATGTGGGGGTGGGGGACAGACGAGACATCTTATTAACCTAAAGCACCAGGCTTCTGAGTGGCTCTTAGGGGTCAGTGCCCCTGTTTAAAGCCTAGAGAAGCTTCAGGACAGACATCTTCCCTGATACTGAAAAGGGTGCGTGAGTGCAGATAAACACTCATGACCTGACGTGACACTGCCAATCTCGGAGCCATCTTGACCTTGTTTTTTGTTTACAAACTAAGATGCAACTCTTTTTCAAGGGTCGGTCATAAACTTTAGGGGAACCAGACCCCAGAAGTGAACCTGACTGACTGTCAGGGCTCAGATGCCTCTGCCTGGCTATGAGGGGGGCTAGATACAGACTAAAGTCGAGAAAGGTCTTTCAAGGGCCCCTCGGGAAATGTGTCTCTACTGAAATGAGGCAGCCTCTGACCTCCTCAACAGCAGTCTTGCCTCATACATGGTACAGAACTGAGGCAGCTCCCTGAGCTAGCAAGCCTGAGACCAAAGTCAGTGTGTAGAGAAAGGCAGGAGGGGTGATGGAAGAACAGGAATAGTCATCTCACCTGATGAGCTGAACCTGCTGCCTCTAGAACCTTCCGTCTCACCACGGCCTCTGCATGCATCACGGGTGCTCTGTGACAGTTACATGCTCCATGCTTAACCTGCTCTGTGAGCTTTCCATCCTTTACAGACAGTGTGCCTGGATGCAGAAGCTAATTGTGTTTTTAATCTATTTCATTAAAGCAGATACCCGCAGGGCCTTCCTCGGCTTCCTCTGAGCTGCTCTCCATACCTAGAGACCCCAAAGCTCTCAGGTTCCATTACTCCACACAAGTCTTCTAATGAGGCAATCCTCAGAGAACAGGAGCCTCGCTGACCTCCTGATCAGACCATCCTCCCAGCTTAGCCAGCCACTTGTTCTTGACTCTATGCGGGAAAACTCGACAAGCCCAGGAGGTGCAGTCAGGATATGCTGCATTGGCATCGAAGCAAAGACTCAACTTTTGCTGTGATCTCTGAGTTCAAGGACAGCCTGGTCTACAGAGTGAGTTCCAGGACAGCCAAGGCTAAACACACACACACCAAAAAAAAAAAAAAAAAAAA